CTATATATATATATATATATATATATATATATATATATATATATATATATATATATATATATATATATATATATATATATATATATATATATATAGGGGTTGGTTCCTGTGAGAATGGACCTTGTGAAGAAAAATGAGAATGGTGCATTTTTCTACGCAGGTAGTGCATTTTACAAAATTCAATTAAATTACGAAAGTATCACCGCGTTCTTTTAAATTTTTTCTTATTTTTCAAATTTTTATGGCCCTTAGATCTCACATTCTAAAGCACCACATGCATTCTCATTTCCCTCCTAAGATCTCATTCTCACCAGATCCAAAATCTCTCTCTCTATATATATATGTATATGCATGTGTGTGTGTGTGTGTGAGATGATGCAATGTGTGGCTCCCATTAGAAAAGGTGACACTATTACAAAATTGTCACCTTTTGATTGGCTATCATAGTGTCATCTCACCATTTGTCATCTCACCTGAGTTGTTGTGCGTAGTGAATGTCTCAATTGAGGGCTTTGTTTATGGTGACAGGGGTCCCTAGATCTCGATGTAAAGGTGTAAGACTGAGAGATATCCATTGACACTGACCTTTAGGAATGAACAGTTATAGCAGAAAAGCATAATTGTGTAAATATCTGTTTCAGTATACTGAGATTTACCTCAAGTTTTAAACTGTTGATATATATATAAATAAATAAATAAATAAATAAATAAATATATTATGTTCTTTTCTTGTTTTTGGTATACGCTTATCTCTAGCTATCTTTTGTGCTAGACACTGTCATTGCTTTTAAATATACTGGTGGATGTCTTTGGGAGGAGCACACAGCCACCAGCTCCAGTTGAAGCTTCAGAGATAGCTGATATCATTGACTTCCTGTGAGATAGTTTTCCTTGTCCTTGTTAGAACTACTCTTCCTATGTTCTTTAATAGTTACAACAGTTCTTTAGTAATTCCGTATATCATTATCTATTAGAAAAAATTATGAAAATATTCATTAAGTTAATATGATACAAGTTGTCTTAATATTTTTGTAATGCCATCATGGTGAAAGTAGCGCATGTAAATAGTGTAGGAATCAAATTGCTCCAACTACAGAGTACTAAAGAACATACAAAGTGTTTTTTTTTAGTAAATCAGATTTGACTGCAAGTTGACATTCATTTTCTTCTCCCTCCTCTTCTTAGGCATCATGTGATCCATTATGAGGGGCAAGGAGGGCCAGTTCAAGCAAGTAGCAGACCCAGAGCTGAAGTTCTTGCTCTTTGTGGGAGGGCAGCTGAAAGCTTACGCCCAGACGTGCAGCATCTTTTCTCTCATCTCAAAGCTGATTCAAATGCATCTGTTTATGCAGCAGCACACCCGAAACCCGTTCAGACCCCCTCATAGATCCTCTTTAATTATTCAACTATTAGTAGAAAGTGATGACTCCAATATCCAGCATGTAATTATGCATCACCTTACAGAGTTATTCTCTGGTTGTTTCTTGGTCCAGTTTACTGTCTGGAACCATCAATTAAAACCAATGCTTTCACCAGTCAATTTTTTTTTTGCTTCTATTTTTTTGTTAGTTTATCACTGTTATTTATTTGAGATTTTATAAGACATTTTAACTTGTAATTCCTTTCAGATTTTGTAAAACAATAAATCTTGTGTGCTAGATTTAGAGATGAGCTAATCTCGAAACTCGAAAGTGATGGAAGAATTTACTGTAATAAATTACAGCAAACTGGGAGTGTAGATGACTATGTGGACAAGCTTGGGGAGCTGATATCGTGCATGTTGATGAACAACCCGACACTCCCTATGAGTTACTCTCAAGATAACTTAGTGTGTGTTTGGGGGGGGGAGTTGGGAGGGGTGGGGTGGGGCTAAAACAAATTTAATATCTTTAGGCGAGCTAACTACTCAAGGTTGCATGTGTGTTGGTACTAGAAAGTGGTGCAAAGTGTATTGTGGTGCAAACCTTGTGTTAGAGGGAAAGAAAGCAGAGAACAATCTTTGTTATGTTGAGGGTGCATGGACTAAGAAATGCATGATCGCTTTCTTAGATGAGGTTGAAGTATTTGTTCAATTGGGTTAAGGAAGGATTTGTTAGGATATCTCCTCAATTATCAAGTATTAATTATGCTGGAGTTTATTCTATTTTTAGTAATTAGAAAATAAAATAAAATATATAATAAAATAAATAAGTAAATAAATAAAGGTGACAAGATAAGAGTGAAAAGAAGAAAATAAAAGGAATTCAAAAAATGAAAAACTATCATGCATGCGAAGGAGGGCCATTGCATACTCTTTGTTTGAAAGGAATTGATTTATCTCTTATACTCCGTATCTCTTATCATATGGTATGGAATATATTTGCTTGTTTATTTTATTCTTTGTGTGTGTTTTTTGATATATAAAGGAAGCAGCATTCCCTTTTTAAAAAGTGAGTGTAGACGTGTAGCACTAGCCATTACGTGAGTTGTTTTCTGGAGAGTATATCAATTGTTGTTTTGGTGTTGTGTTTGTTAAACTCCAATTGATATTATAGTGAAAAGTTTAATCCAAAAGGAATGTGGTTTTTCCTAATTGAGAGGGGTTCCACTGATAAGTCCGTTTTGTTCTTATTTTATTCTACATATTTTATACGTTGTTGTACGAAAATAGTAATAAATTAGTACATAATAACATGTTAATATGAATAATGTTTGTCGATTTGTTCTAAGAGGAATAATAAATTGGATCTAAAATAAATCAGCTTAGATATTCAATTTCTTACTCATATATGAGAGAAAAAGGTTTCAAAATGGGAATTATTATTCAAGCGTATCTCTCGGAAAGTGAAAACAGTGTTCGGGGACATAAGAAAGCAAAATCGGGCCCAGATTGCAAACAAGCCGCGAAGCCCAAAGGAAACGGGCCTGAGGCGTCCAACCCATGGACGCTTTGGCTGAATTGCAGCCCAAAAATGACACGTGGCGATCAACGACGGGTGAATGTGGCAAAGCGTCCAGATCTGGACTCTTTAGGTTGGTCGCTTCGCGTCCATTCCTATATAAATCGCGCCTCCCCCATCTTTGATACCATTCTCATCCCCAAACATTTTCTTAGTCCGAATTTCTCTACATTTCTTCATATTTCTTAGTTAGGTTTTGGAGTCTTCTCATTGTAATTTGTAGCCCGGTTCTCCCGACTTCGCTAAAGCGCAAAAGTAAGTTTTCTATATTTAATTATCGATTTAATTATGCCTTTTCTATATGAATGCATGTTTAGATCTATTGTTATGAGGAACTAAATCTACTAGGGATGTGATTCATAGTATGGTAATGGTAATTTTTAAATGAAATTGTTGAAGTTGAAAATTTTCTTTATAAATTATATTACTACTCGTATCAACCATACAAATTGTAGTAGTTGTTATTATTGTGAAGTTTTATTGTGATTGATTAATTGAAAATTTATTATTCAGAACCTTGAAAAAGAAAATTGTGTTCATTGAGAAATCGTGATCATGATTAAGTCATATCCTTTAATACGAATAATTAATTTCTATAACTAGAATTAATTATCGAATAAATGTTTAACAATATTTATTCACTAGTTGTAAAGATTTGAAATGAAAATTATTCCAATTAAAAAAAGTAATCTATAAAAAGCCATTACCTGAAAATGAATTACATCCCTGGCTGTTTAAACTGAGATATCAATCATCACCCTTTTCAAGGATTCGATTATTTGAAAACTTTCGAATTCAACTAGTAAATCTTGATTAGCTAAGTCCTACTTTCACTTTCCTTTGAACCGATCCTAGAAACGATACGGTAATAGATTAGCCTTACCGTAAAGTTGACTCCCTCTACTACAATTGTTTTATCAAATGGCGTAATTGTCGGGGATTGGCGCGGAATGTTGTTATTTAGCTGACCTCTGAGAATGTTGATAGGGTTGATTTTAAAAAAAAAACACAACTTTGAATTTTGATTTTTTTAAAAAAAAAAATTATTTTCGAAAGAAAGTTAAATAAATAACTTTGAAATTAATTAATTAAAAAAATAAAGGTAGTTGTATGACTTCTTATGAACACTAGTTCTCGCAGAAATAATATTCTTCCTGGTACGAACAATCCCGAAATTCTATTCCGTTAACGAACGACTCGAATCCCGCATCAACTGAGGTTCAACGATGAGGAAAATAGAGAAGAAGAAACTTTAGAAGAAGAAGAACACCCTTCCAAAGAAGAAGAAGAAAGCGAGTGAGAAGAATAAATTGTTGCGAATCCACGAAGAACGATTCTTCAAGCCATGAGCTTTGCCTATACAAAAGAGGATCTGATAGGACTCGCAGCTAGTGAAGCCCATACCTTTGAGATCAAGCCGGCTATGATCCAAATTGTATCCAACAATCAGTTTGGAGTTTCAAAGGCTAATAATCCAAGAATGCACATGTTATGGTTTTCCCAAACATGTCAAGCATTTAGATTCAATGGGTTGTCCATGGATCGTATTAAACTCTCTATGTTCCCTTTTGACCTTTGAGATTGAGCAGCAAGGTGGTTGAATACGTTTCCTAATGGTCTCTTTTAGACGTGGGAATCACTCCATTAAATGTTTATGCATGAGTACTTTCCTCTTTCAGCCATTGTCAAGATTAAGAACTCGATACAGAACTTCTGCGAATCCCCGTCAGAATCATTGAGTAAAGCATGGGACCAATTTAAAGAGCTCAAGGCTAAGTCTCCTCCAGGACTAAGGGAAGCCGATAGTTTGATGTTCTATTTCTATCAGGGCATACTAGTCCCATCCAAGAAAGAGCTTGACCATTCTTCTAATGTCCGATCTTTCCTTGAGATGGCTCCCGAAGAGAATGAGGAGTTAGTGGAACGTCTAACATCCAATGCTAAGTATTGGTATGACGACCGTGCTCCTCAACCAAAAGCTGCAATGTACGAAGTAGACCAATTCACGGCAATCAAGGCCTGTATGGAGAGTATTGTGAAACAAACAATCAAGGAGCAATTGGGAGCATCATCTAGTTCGTGTCCCACTCAATATGTCGAGCCTGTAAACCAAGCAGAGACATACAATCCAGGAAGCTATCAATGATGTGAAATTGTTCTATCCTGTGAGTTGTTCTTAATTACATAACCATCTCACTACCTAGTGTCATCTCTACGAAGGATCCATAGCAGCAAGGGCCAAAGAAGTGAATCTGGCGCAATATGCAAATGAAGGGGAAGGTCTATGGGCTCTGAACAATCGGGAGCACTGGAGAGAGAGGAACAATTTTTAGAGGAATAATCGTCCTAGAGACGATTATAACCAGAGCAAATAGAATAATAACAAAGGCAGAAATTATCAAGGAAGCAACCCACCTTATGTTGCACCTCACAATCGGCAGAACTATCAAGAAGAATCCATGGCCAAGTTTGAATCGAGGGTAGAGAAGATGTTGATGGAATATATGCAGAGGATGAACAATATTACAGATGATTTGAATGAACGAGACAAGACTCGATACAACCAACTTCAGCAAGTGTTTAAACAACTAGGAGTTCGTGAACAAGGAAATCTTCCCACTACTACTGAGCAAAATCCGAGGGAGCAACTTCAGACTATCACTTTGAGTAGTGGTAAGGAACTTCAAGGCCCAGTGGTGGAAGAAGATAACCTAGTTGATACGACTACTGGAAGTAACTCTGGTGAAAAGACCAACAAACCTGTGTCCAAAGAGAAGAAAAAGGAAGGAAGCACTACCTAAGCAACCTCAGCAGACCTCTCCAAAGGCTAGCATACCCTTCCCTACAAGGGTAAAGAAAAGTGATTATGAGAAAGCTTTCAAAAAGCTTCTCGATATTATTGGCCAAGTGGAGGTCAAGATGCTGTTAGTGGAAGTGCTGACAGAAATGCCACAAAGTATGGTAAGTTTCTGAAAGACCTGGTAACAAAGAAGAGAGATTGGGAAGAATTCTTAGTTGTTAGCTTGAATGCTGGATGCTCCACTCTTCAAATCTGCTCGAGGAAATACAGAGGAAGCATAAGGATCCAAGTTGTTTCGCTATCCCTTTCTCAATTAATGATAAAACTTTTAGTGATGCTTTGGCAGACCTCGGAGTGAGCATCAATCTAATGTCATCCTCTATAATGAATGCATTAGGGCTTACTGGACTTAAGCCTACACAAATGTGTCTTCAATTAGCGGACAGTTCTATTCACTACTCTAGGGGTGCAATTGAAGACGTGCTTGTGAGGGTTAATAAGTTCACATTCCCTGCTGATTTCGTAGTTTTGGACATGGAGGAAGACATGGAAAAGCCACTCTTACTAGGGCGACCGTTCCTTGCCACCACCAGGGAATTGATTAATGTTCACGGTGGGCAACTAACCCTGAGAGTGGGTAACAAAGATATGACTTTTAAAATGATGAGTTTTATGGACCATACTCCGGACCCAGCTGAGTTTTGTCACTCAGTTAATATCATTAAAGATAAGGGTGAGCAACCAAGCCGTAGCAACTAAGTGTGAGGTGTGTAGGTGTGTAAGTGTGAGGTGTGTAGAGTGAGCAACCAAGCCGTAGCAACTAAGGATCCTAAACCCTTAGAACTTAAGCCACTCCCACCACATCTCGAATATGTTTTTCTTGATGAAGAGGGCCAGTGTCCTATTGTCATTGCCTCTGACTTAACTCCAGACTAAAAGGCAAAACTATTGCTTGTCCTCCAACAACATAAGCAAGCAATTGCTTGGAAGCTAGAGGACATCCAAGGAATAAGCCTACACATAAGATTGCCATTGAAGATGGATTTAAGCCTTTTATCCAAGCACAACGAAGGCTTAATCCAAAATTGATGGAGGTCGTCCAGAAAGAAGTGCTAAGACTACTACTGGATGCAAGTATCATCTTCTCGTACATTCTCACTAGATCCAATTACATAAAATAACTGATAATACTAAAATCACTAACATTTACTTAGTTGGTTACAAAAGTTGGTCAGTGTGTTGTAAGTGGTATGGGTAGGACTTGTTTCCCAAATATGGACACGACCAAAATTTTTTTTAAAAAAAAAAAACCTTAGCTGCAGGTTTCTTTTTATATTGGCCAAAGTTTAAAAACGTCAAGTAAGCAGAGTCAATCAGGAAGAAAATTCCTGAATAGAGTAATTGCCATATAGAAACTCGAGAAAGTATTCATGTATAACTTTTTTCTGAAATGTCTCTCAAATAATAAGAGACAAGTATCATGTTATTGGTTCACAGTTGAGAATACAAATCAAATACATGAATGAAGCCTTGGGATTGCTAATGACTAAATTGACTTAGAAGGCATAACGGTAGATTGCATCAGCTGCTCCATCTTCATCATTGCTCAAACCAATCACATTAGCCACAGCCTTTGCCTTCTCGGATCCATTTCTAAGAGCAACACCCAGACTAGCCAGTTCAAGCATCTCTACATCATTTTCCCCATCGCCAATGGCCATTATCTAAATACCCATAAAGATAAAAATAAGTTTCAGTTAGATGCATTATATATTTGAACCACAATGCTCTAAGCTTAATTCCATTCATGAACACTTGTTCTTGAGCATTTCTATTTCTGTATTCATGATATAATATAGCATATGTAATGAACCTTGGTGCAAAACACAGTAAAGGCATGATGAGCTGAGTAATACTACTTAAAAACAATGCTCACTTAATACCTCGTTTGGACTAACACCCAAATGATCAAGAAGCATTTTAACCCCTATGCCTTTGGAGGTTCCATACGGAACAATTTCAAGCATGTCTGGTACAGCTTGTACTACAGAAGCACAATCCCCAGCTGCTTCCTCCCAATATGGCCTCAGCGTAGACGCCACTCCTTCAGCTGTGTCTAAGAAGATCATCTTCTGCAGATTCAGATATATTCTGTGGTGAGAAAATCCAAAATAGTAATGTTTGTGGCTGTCAAACATGTTTAGCCTTATAGCACATTGAGGTCGCTAAGTATTTTAATAGTGTCAAATAAGAGCATCTTCTGCAGATTTGGATATATTAACTGGTGAGGAAATCCAAAATAGCACTTTTGTGCTGTCAACATGTTTGGCTTTGTAGCAAATTGAGGTAGTTAAGTAGTTTCAGATATAGTGTGTAAAAAAGTCTATCTTCTGCAAATTTGATTAATATTCTGTGGTGAGAAACAACAACCCACTTGAATCCACTACAGTAGGGTCTGGAGAGTAGGGTCTGGAGATATCAAACTGTGGTGAGAAAATAAAAAGAAAAATGTTTATGACTGTCAAACTTGCTTAGCCAGATAAATTCTGTGGCGACAATAACCCAAGAGTCTAGACGGGGACTACAGGGATATAGAAGGTGATTTTTAGAACAAAGTATATAAAACAATCTTAAATAATTCATAGTAATTTATAAATAGACATTGATGTTGAAGATAGATCTCAACAGATTTTATACTGGCTGATAAAGCCAACCGCCCAACCCTAGTGAGCAGAGGTCATATGTGCAATATATCCTACTACAATGAGCAAGTACTACATCTGATCCTTTTTATACAAGGAATCAAGTCTTTTTATAAGACAATGTTTTTATATTTTTAAAAAAAACTATTACTCCCTCCGTCCAAAAATTATCTTCCCGTTTGGTGATGCTAGTAGCATGAGTAGTAGCAGCTTAACAACGGTGAGATGGTGGTTGAGCAGTGATGGTAAGGTGGTGATGGTGATAATGGGGGTGGGATGGGGGATGGTCGTAGTAGTTTGGCGGTTGTTAGGTGGTACCATGGTAGCATTGGTCAAAACATTACACAGTTACATGAGATAACACACCTGTATTTCTACTCCTGCCGAGAGTTGCTCAATACTAGAAACAATCTCTGCCTATCAACAGATCTCATGTCATAAAAAGAAAGTTAGACCAAATAGGTATAATTTAATTTTCTTAGCAGGACACTTAGGAGTACATATGGTAAATTCTGGACCTTTGGTTCATAATATATTGTGTGAAGTGATTCCACGGAAGGGTGCTCGAATAAGGTCAAACAGCGACCCTCAGAAAATGCAACAAGAGGAATGTTGTGGTTGACAGAATATACGCATGCCTGCAATCAAAGAAAAGAGGGATTATAATTCATATAAATACGCGAGGAACAATTCTAGAATAAAGCACAGTTGCTTAAAGCAACCCCATCCAAAATAAAATTGGTCCTACAGGTATTTAAAGCTAGTGACATATGAAGGTGTAACAAATTAAAAAGGCAAAGTAGCTATTGAATATTGATGAATGAAAATTACAAGCTTTAGGAGCAAGAAATGCACTAGTGGAATTACTGGAATATATTTATACTCGCATTATTTTCAGTCAAATGCACAATTGACAATAGCAGTCAATCAATAAGAGAGCTTATAGTTGTATACTTCAAGGATTGTAGAACAGAGGCAATGTTTTGATAAAAAAATTCATTTTCTTTTTGGTACAAGCAAATAGACTGACACCCTGAATGTAAATTGATACTTAAAATAGTTGCAATTGTTATAGTAGTCAAAATTCCATATCTAGACAATGGAATCAAAAACCAACATTAATCATCATCGAAAATTGCTTCTCTGTCTGATTTTGCCCATAAAGTCTTCCATCATTTATAAAAGAATTGCCTTAAATTTCACATGAAACTGGGAACATAGTTTGGGAATGTAATCATCTCCAATGAAACCACTAGGGAAAAAAATCCTAGCAATTAAGAAAATAAAAACCTAATCAAGATATAAATCTTGTAGAAAGAGGATGTAAAAGTAATTTACCTCTCTACAGATATTTTGGTCTAAATTCCTTCTTGCAATTTCCCGACCTTGTCTACCATATACCAGGAGCCCCTACAGTTTTGCAAAAGAAGAAAAGCATGGTGACATTGTACAATAAAATAACTTTCAGTGACATTCATTAACAACTCACTTGTTTTTTCATGAACATTAATTCCATCTCCATGTTTATATATAAAATGACAAGTAGTATGGGACTAAACCAAATTGAATGCGAAACCAAAGTTTCTAAAACTAGAAAAACGGAGTTACTATGAAGCCATCTACTAACTAGAAATTTAGAAAAGTTTTTCAATCATCTGAATACTTCAAAAAGAAAAAAAAACTTTACTCCCTCTGTTTTCCAAATTAGAAAGCAGAAAAATGTTTGCTTAACCAGATTTCCGTAATTAAAAAATAAAAGAATTCACATTTCTCAAACATTCAGTGACAAGAAAACAATTTTGTTTTCTGAATTGGAAAAAAGTTTTCATACAACCAATCATCAATGGTAGCCACGGTCACAACATTCACCAATACCGGCTACGAATATCATCATCACCGTTGGTAACCACCATCAATGCCTCGATTGTCCATCCCAACCACCACCAGTAATCATTGTAACCATCACAATCACAGACTGTCATTGTAAGCAATCTTGTCCACCATCACCATTTCCATTGTTTATCCTAACTCAACCAACACAAAACACACCTCCCCTTAAGGCCAAGAAAGTATGATTGCCATCTAAGCTTAATAGTTGTTGATTCCATCAGACACTACCACCCTCGCCTTTCACGCATCTCAAATAGGGGATCACAAAAAAGTCACATTTCTTGTGAACAAACTGTTATATTTCAACTAATATAACGCAAGTATTTACCTTTAAAGAGTCATTGCCTTTACATAGAAATTATAATATTGAACACACATTTCTTTTCTTGTGATAAGATCGAATTTGATGGTTCATTTTGTGCCTATTTGGTAAGGGTTATTTGGATGAAATAACTAAATTTTATCATACAAAAGGCATTGAGTAACATCCCTTACAGCCAAATACGTCAAAAACTAGTTTTTAAGAATCCTAAAAGCAAAACTTTTCTTTTATTAATAGTAGACACTAATACTTACTCCCTCCCACCCTCCATCCTTAAATAAACTTCATTTTCACTGTTCGCAATGTCAGACTATATCAACTTTCATTACTTATTTACTGTAATCATTTGTACCAATAAGATTGTCAGGTCACGTCTCGTTCAATAGAATTTTATGTAGCTTTAGAATTTATAAATTTTATTTTCTAATCTTTCACCCATATTTAAATAAATTATATTTAAAATAATTTTAGTCAAACCTTGTAAACCGGATCAATAAGTTTATTTAGGGACAGAGGGAGTATATATTTCTTGCACACTTGTATATTCAAGCTGGGAGGACAATACATCCTTGAATAAGATGTGAAGCACATCTATATGAATACAAATTCTCAAGTTTATTTGAAATCTTAAAACACTATAAGGGCCTGTTTGGCGAGCCAATAAAATCTAAGTTCTGATTCTAATGTTTGGGTAGAACTCCTCTGAATACCTTTATCTGAGACACATGAAAGTATGAAGGATTTGAGATGATTGAGTTGTAGGAACCACTTCAAACTCTTGATATGTAATAATCACAAAGGTATTACCGCTCAAATATTGCTCCCAATTTTGCACTACATGTACCTCATCCAGTAACTCATTTTCATATACAGATAGTTGATGCAATTTAGGCCGTAGAGTCTTATTCAAAAAGACATATGCTTCAATTTCTCCCACAAAAGTTTTAGTAAAGTCAGGAAAACCATAGTCACAGAATTTGCTCCCTAAGCCGCAACTTCCGTATTGGTACGTGGCGTGTACCGGCCATACCCAATCGCAATTTGATTGCGATCCGATCATAGGCAGTACAGCGTATCCTTTAACGTGGTACAGCGTCCATACCAGATCGAGCTGGTACGGCGTACCAAAAGCCAACTGAAATTGTCCCCAGCCCCTTGGTACGGCGCACCAAGTCGGAAATAATGGCGTACCAATCATTGGCGGTACGGCAAACCAGTCCGATTCAACTTTCCCTCTTCCAATTGGTGACTTTCCCACTTCCCAGGCACGTATTGAGTATTCCACTTTCCAAAGTCTTATTAAAAAAAATAACTCCTTTAATATATATTTCAAATATCAATTTACAATTAAATATTATACTTATATATATATATATATAGGGGTGTTCATCGGTCTAAAACCGGACCGGACCGAACCGGACCGGACCGGACCGAAGACCGAAATATGCCAAAACGTAGACCGAAGACCGGACCTAAATGTACTCGGTTTTGGACCGGACCGGACCAAATTCACATGGACCGAATCGGGAAGACCGAAAAGACCGATTTTAATTTGTTAGGGTATTACTATTATCTAAAATGGCTGGAAATTAGGATTGGAATGCTGCTGCTTTGCTGCCGACTAAATCACTGCCGATTGTCGAAGGCCAATGTGCCCACTTCCATAGTTGGAGAAGAAGATTAGAGAGGGCATGCAAGAATAATTGTGATTAATACATACCTTCGCAGTCCAATTGAAGCCTTTCGACACAAAGAGATGGGAAATCTTAGAAGCCTCGGCCGTCGGCCGTCGTCGGTCCAGCAGGTAGCGAGGTCGGCCGTCAGTTTACTCCCAGACTACGAGCGTGTAAAGTGACGATTGGGAATTGGCTTTGGGATGGGGTTTTCAATATTTGGGTATTTGGGCTTTAAAAAATAGATATGGACAGTGGGCTTACTGGGCTGGACTATTGGACCAATTGGGAATTAAATGGACTATTCGGTCTAATCGGTCCGGACCGAAACCCGATCGGGTTTGGACCGGACCGGACCGAAACCCGAAATGTAAAATACATAGGACCGAAGACCGACCCGAAATCGATTCGGTCCGAGTTCGGTCTGGACCTATCGGTCCGGTTCGGTCGGTTTTTTCGGTCTGGACCTAAACATGAACACCC